CAGCAGAAACAGCAGCAGCATCAGTAGCAGCATCAGTAGCAGCATCAGTAGCAGTAGCAAAGATAGTAAACGCATTAGCAATGACAGCAGCGGTATATCCATGGTAGCAGGACAGGATCAACAGCAGCTGTAGTTGGCCTAGTAGCAACAGCAGCAGCAATAGCGACTGCGGCAATAGCAGCAATACTGAAAGCACAAACAGCAAAATTAGCAACAATAGCAGCAGTAATAGCATCATCGAGGACCATTGCGACAGTAACAGCAGGGGGTAGCCGTGAAAATGGTGAAATGGTATTGGTTTAACGCCCCTATCAACATTATTAGGTTATTTAAGGGGCGGGACCTCCTAGTTTAACGTCCGTCTCCGATAGGACCGATGGCAGCCGTGAAAGGAGTAACAATAATATATAATCTGTAGCAGTAGTAGTAATTACAATGGTTTGGTCACTTAAAAACGACACGAGACCATTGCGAAAGAGGTACTTGAGGTAACATGGACGGACAACATAAAAACATGTACTGGCTTAGATATTATGTGCAAAGGCAGCTCACGACAGTGAAGGATGGCGGGTCATTACAAGTCAACTTCTGAGTCAGAGATGTCACCTTAGATATCCCCGTAGTAGTAATTGCAGCAGTAGCAACAGTATTAGTAGCAATAGTGGCTGTAACAATAGCAGTTGTGAAAGCAGTAGCAATACTGTCAAAAGCAGCAGCAGCAGCAGCAGTAATACCTATAGCGACAGTTGTAAGAGCAGCAGTTACAGTAGCAAAAGCAATTAATGAAAGCAATAGCAATAATGGCAATAGCAGTAGCGATAGTAGCACTATCAATTATGAAAGCAGTAGCAATAATGGCAGTTGCGAAAGTGACAGTAGCAATAGCAATTTGAAAGCAGTAAAAAAAATTAATAATGGCTACAGTGACAGTAGCATTAGCAATTATGAAAGCAGTAGCAATATTACACTAGCGATAGCAATAGTAGCAATCGCAATTATGAAAGCAGTAACAATAAAGACAAGCGATAGCAACAGTAGCAATAGCAATTATGAAAGCAATAGCAATAATGGCAGTAGCGATAGTGACCGTAGAACTAGCAATTATGAAAGCAGTAGCAATAATGGCAGTAGCGATAGTGACCGTAGAACTAGCAATTATGAAAGCAGTAGCAATAGTGGAGGTAGCTATATGGGACTGTGTAGCAATTATGAAAGCAGTAGCAATAGTGGCAGTAGCTATATGGGACAGTGTAGCAAT